ATATATATATATGTTATAGTTTATACATAATATAAACTATAACAATAAACAAATTGTTAAATAATGACATTACTGGGATAACACATTTGTTTTCATAGCGGGAGATAACTTTTGTGCCGAGAGGTTTGGGTTTTTAAAAACAAAATTTCTTTTATTTTAAAAACTTTCACAAAAGTATCGAGGAATTAAAGCCGAAATAAATACAATAATCTCAAAGGTATGAGTTCTGTATTACTTCTAAACAATAACTGGCTAAACAATGAACTTGTAAGTTTATAAGTTTAGCAGAACAATGAAACTGCAAGGATTGCAAAGTCAGCATCTTATCGGGATTGATAACTCGTGCTACATTTTAGCGTAAGCTATTTTGTCTGTGCAAGAACAATGTTGAAATATCAGTTTTCTCTAGAGTAAAAAAACAATTTTATAATAATGTGTGTATTTTGCTTAAAACTGGTACATTATATTTATTAAATTTTTTGTAGTTGACACGTGTCTACAACAATTTCTACGTTAACACGAAAATGTTTACATTTTTGTACCAAAATTATAAAAAAATGTAATAAATATAAAAAATGAAGGTAACATGTAGAATATCGCATGAAAGATGAAAAAATAAGCAATTTTTTGTAACCACAGCCTGCTTCGATGGCAGCGAATTACATACGATATTTTAAAAACCTGTTTACACCAGGTGAAAGATATCAATTTTACCATGAACTTTTATTAAAATGAGTTTCCTCTATCTCTTAAAATAAAAAAGGTAGACGACCCTAAACTTTCGGTACTTTTCTGGATTTTTCATGATTACTCATAAAGTTGGCCATGGATCTCAAAGTTTTTACGAGCTTAAAGGCCTCAAAAAATGTAACAAAAACATATAAAGATTTTCGACGCGCGTCGTATGTTAAGCGAGATTCGTAAGAGTGGCCCTCTTATAGTAGACAGCCTGTATATGGACTATTCTAAAACTGATATTTTGCGGCCTCTATTTGTAGACTACATTTTTATACGACCCCACAGAAAAGAGTCAGGCGGGGTCATATCGGTAGATCTAGCTCGTCATTCAGTTGCCCCTATGTGTCCAATTCATTTATCAGGAAAAGCTTAATTTAGATATGCTCGTACCACACGTCCAAAATATGTTGGAACCATATTTGTTTTTCCGGTAAATTGGAACTGTTATTTTTCGGGATTAATCGTCTAAGCTCTGGAATAAAGTGTTCACGCAAACATAATACATATCATTCAGAGGTCAAATGTCCGTTTATAGAATAGGGTCCTGTGACGTGTCCACTAATAATGCCACACCAAATATTTACTCTCTGTGGTCGTTGGGTGTGAACTTCCTCCATTCAATGTGGATTTTGGTCTGATCAATACAACAGTCGTGTCGGTTTACGTGCAAACAATATGTTGATGACAAAGTTGACATTTTCGTTTAATTTATCCATAATAACTTCGCAGAACACGATTCTACGAGCATAATAGTATTCACTCATGTTTTGTAACAAATGAATTTTATGAGGATTTAATTTTTCCGTTTGCAAACTTTTTGAATGGAATATCAACTCTAGTTTCATCAAAACGCTGCAAAGTTTTCGGTTGATTTAGAAACGTTCTACTTCGTCACAACTTCGTCTTCTATCACTATATTATGCTATGATCACTAAAACTTTAATATACTCGGTTTCACTTAAAACGTGCCATTTTTGCGAGAAAATATTTTTGTATAATTTATAAGAAAATGATTTACAGAATTCGATATCTTGAAAACCCTAAAACGTTTGTGTCTTATGATTTTTCGATAGTTTTCTTACTTTAGGAGATAACAGAATAAGTAAGTAAGTAAACATTTATTTCCTCAAGTTATTACAATGTACAGTTATATAAATAGAAAAAAATTGAGATTACAGAAGAATAACATAAAAAACAAGTGTACCAACTTATTTACATATCTGCGTTTTTTCCCCAAAAATTGAAAGAATGTAAAATTTAAAAAGAAGAGAAAAAATACCGATAGAGTACAAACTTACAGCTAAACATTAAAAATTCAAAGGTAATAAAATTTACAGTAAATAAACAGACACATATTTATGTTTTTTACATGTACAAGTTAATACTTAATTTTAATAAAAGACGTGATACACACTTATTGCCTTAGAGTGTACTGATAAAAGATTCATTTAAATAATAGAATTCATGACCTCGTAAAAGGATTTTTAGTTTCGTTTGAAAACTTTACTGTTTAATGTCTTTAGATAAGATAGCAATTTATGATATACATTTATCCCCGAATACAAAGCACCATTGCGTGTTCTATTATAATTATACAGGGTGTCCCGAAATTCATGCAACAAAATTTGGTCACAGATTCTTAAGACAAATTTAGGGGACCCGTATTTTTTATTTTTGCCAAGTGGCCCCCTCTTTCGGAGCTACAGGCTCCTGAAGTCCGCCTCTAAGAATAATCTTTTTTTTATATCTCAGAACCCTGTTGTACATGAATCACTAAATTTGGTACACAGGGGTTTTATGACATGTGGAATCTGATGGTGCTATNACAAATTTAGGGGACCCGTATTTTTTATTTTTGCCAAGTGGCCCCCTCTTTCGGAGCTACAGGCTCCTGAAGTCCGCCTCTAAGAATAATCTTTTTTTTATATCTCAGAACCCTGTTGTACATGAATCACTAAATTTGGTACACAGGGGTTTTATGACATGTGGAATCTGATGGTGCTATGTTTTTTTGGCGGGGAACCCCTTTAAGACAATTTTTCGTGGGCCCCCTTGTCTTTGGAGCCAAAAAAATTTGGTCGCATATTTAAATTTCTTAAAATTTCTTCTTAAAATTATCAGTCCACTAGAAAGCCATTAAATTTAGAAATTTTTTGTCTCTTTATACTTTTTTCGTAAAACGCAATGTTTTCAAGAAAAATTTCAAAATGTGATCGAATGCATATCGTCATTTCGCGATTTTTCTCAAAAATATTGTGTTTTACGAAACTAATATCAAGAGACAAAAAAGTTTCTAAATTCAATGGCTTTCTAGCTAACTAATAATTAAAAAAAATTTGTGACCAAATTTTTCTGGTTCCAAAGACAATGGGGCCCATGAAAAAGTGTCTTAAGGGGATTTCTCGTCAAAAAGCGTAGCACTGTGAGATTCCACATGTTATAAAACCCTTGTGTACCAAATTTAGTGATTTTCGTACAACATGGTTTTGAGATATAAAAAAGACTTCTTAGGGGCAGATTTTAGGGGGCT